GTTGACTAGGACGCAGCATGGTGTATGAGCGGATTCTCCCGCCTTGTCCCGGTAAAAGACTGCGTCTCGCCTCTCCATCGTCCCATCCCACTTTTGTCCATACCAGACCCCCCCGAAACCATGCTCGACGTCTTGCCCTGGCAAGCGAAGAGCAAATGTCTGCCTCTTTCTCTCTCTCGCTCTTTTCCCTCCCGGGGGTGTATCGTGGCTTGACAGGGCCCGTCGCTTTTGGTGGCATCGAGCTCGGGAGCCCACTCATGTCCCTCGGCGCCGCTGATGAAACGCCTAGCCTCTAGCATCCAAGTGCAGCTTTTCATTCCGGTGCAATCTCTTTCTCGGACATGCAGCAGGTAGACGTAAGAGCCAAACTCTGTTAGCGGTAGCTTCTTTATAAGGCTAAACTGTCCTTGCCGTGCGAGTACCTCGCCGGCCCCGTTCGCCGGCGCTTGAGTCCTGTTGCATTCCCTCACTTCTCTGGGTAATCGTGGGGAAAAAGATATAGGGACGGCTATTCCCCTCCGACCCTCCCTTTTAGATACTTCGTCTTTCTTTCATCTCGTCGGCTCTTGTGTTGTTGCTCTTCCAACTGCCGGGACCTTCCATATACGCCCAGAAGCCGCTGAGCAATGGCGTTCCTCACTCCAGAGGCGACCGCCCAGAGCCATGCCAACCTGGTCCGAATTCCGAGCATCGTATTCTTCGTCGTCACGCCCATCTTCGTCTTTATCAGGTTCTGGAATCGTATTTCGAGGAGATCGGGGCTGGGTTGGGACGATGGCACCATCGCGGTGTCCTTTGTACGGACCTCCACTCGCCCATTGCGTCCTCTTGGTATGGGATACTAACGCACATCTTTCTCATTAGGTTTGTACTCTTTTGGTGCAGATATTCATGATGATTTCATGCAATTACGGGTTCGGAAAACACATTGCGTCCTTGTCAATTCATCACGACAAACTCGAGGCGCTCAAGGTACGCTGGACCCACTTTTCTTCTATATGGCTTCACCTCATGAGATATGCTCACACATCTGCTTGTTGGAACAGTGGTTTTACGTTGCACAAATCTTCTATAAGCTGACCATCAACTTGACGAAAATGTCAATTGTTCTCTTATATCTGCGAATCTTCGTCCAGAGGTGGTTCCGCATCTCGTGCTACATTCTCCTGGCCATAGTCACCATGTATTGCATCGCAAGCACTTTGACGTCGATCTTCCAGTGCCAGCCTATTTCAGGAGCTTGGGACAAATCCATCGAACCAAAATGCCTGAGTTTGACAGAAGTATGGTATAGTAACGCCGGCTACTCTATTGCCACTGACGTTTTGATCCTGGCGCTGCCCATGCAGCCCATCTGGGCGAGCAAGCTGCCAGTGAACCAAAAGAGAGCTTTGATGTTTGTTTTTGCTCTGGGTAGTTTGTGAGTGTTTTCTCTCTCTAGTTTGGCATTCAGGAGGCATTACTAACAATTACAGCGTTACCGTTACATCCATTCTGCGTGCCACGACTCTCAACTTCTCGACAACCAGCCCTGATACGACATGTGAGCCCCCTATCCTGCCCCTTTCTTGCTCTTGACGGAACTTATAAGCTAAATAATTCGTCTAGTCGACATTACTTCTACACTGTGGACCATTATCGAAGAAAATGTCGCCATCATCTGTGCCTGCTTGCCCATGTGCCGTATCGTCCTGGCCTTCCTCTTCCCCTCGATCTTCGGAGGCAACACCAGCAAGGGATCTACTGGAGCCTCGGGCGGCCTGGGATCGGAGAACCCTAACAAATACGGATATGCTCGTTCTCAATCCCCTTCGCGCCGCCAAAGCTGGAAACCCTATTCCGGACCGGGCGGTGATGGCGTCAGCCGCAGCACGGCTGCCCATCAGAGCGACGACACGAGCGAAGAATTCATCCTCACAACAGTACAAAGACATGGATCGACGGACGATAATGATGGCGCTATTAGAAAGACTACTAAGTATGAAGTCTCATACGAAAATTAAAGGATATAAAATTAGGAATCTGTTACGATATTTTGGCGACTACGGAGTGCCTGCTCAAGTGCTATCAAAATGGGAGATATTTGGATGCCGGACTTGATACTTGATTCCCTTTGAGGGACAGCTTCCGCATTGCAACGTTGGAGACTGGCTCTCTCCTTTTCTTATACTTGCCTTTTATATTGCAATAATTTCTTTGTTGCCTGTTTTGATTCTTTCTTCTCAGTTTTCCTTTTGCTTTGTACAAAACAATAGTACCTATTTGCCTCGTATAGGACTTTGGAGGCGATTTACGATGACACGCAACTTGGGACAAGGCTTTCTTCATTTTTATTTTGCATACTGTACATATCACTTTCTTTCCCCTTTGTCTATAACACCTACAAGAGATACCAGCTACACAATTGAGCGTTTTATCCGTTACCAATCCGAGTCTAGTCATATTTTGCATCATAGCACTTATACTACGAACACGCTTCCCCCTCGGACACCACAGAAATTGTTCTTCTCTCCAGATCTAGCGCCATGCATGCCCCGGCATGGTACTTGTTTGTACCTGCTCCGCCATGTAACCTTGATACCAGGGGTGCAGGCCTAGCCCATGCAATGTACCTTTGTTGCTTTGGTATTTGGGGGTCTGCAGGCCCCCCCTGCTCTTGGGAGAAGAACCCTGGATTTAGCCACATGGTGCAGTTTTTTTCCCCCTCACACGACTCTCGGATGCTTGTTCCTCGTAGTTACGGTAGAGTGATTAGTAGTAGAGACTCTTGATGGGGGCTTGGGCTGAAACTAGAAAAGACCTGGAGATGTATCCGTGGCAAAAGAGGCGACACTCAGGTGTTTACTACTAAATCCCTGGTTTCAAAAGATGAAGCTGTACAATAGAAGAAAGAGAAATATGACAGTTAAAAAAAAACGCTGATCCGGCGTGCGCCGACCCATGCCAGGCCTGGCCCCCTTGGAGTTATTCCCAAGGTCCCCTTTTTTCTCTTCCTGCCCTTCTGGTTTCGCCTCATGCTGTGCCATGATTCGGTGGGTGGGCTCTAGGGGGGACGGTACGTTCGGTGCAGTACTATATATCGGCGGCCTAGGCTTTGACATGATGGTGTGCAGCTGGGGATCGGGGCGGGCTCGTTCCACCTTTGGCCGAGGAAGAGAAAAAACATCCATGTGGGACTTTATTTTTCTTCTTCTTCTTCTTTTTTTTTTGATGGCGGTGGCGGCCAAGCGAAGCGAGCAGCGTGGTTCACTGGGGAGGAATTTTTTGGATGGATACTACGGGGAATGGAGATGAACTGGAAGAGATGACTTGTATGGATGTGGACATGATGCTTGAGAGAGACTGATAGTGATGTATCCGTAGTGACATATTCCCAGTTAATGAGAGGAGGGTGGGCACTGCATGGCGAGGGAATGTGTCATAAACGCTAGCTGGGTGTCAAGGGATCAAATGTCGGCTCAATGTATGTCAGAAGCCACCGAACATGCAGGCTGTTTGTTTGCTTGCTTGCATACGACAATCTCTTAACAAGTAGCACGATAAAAGGAAGAGAAAAAGGGGGAGACAACAAAGCTTACCTTGTCGGAAATGAGAATAAACGGGCAAGAAAAAAAATGAGAACAAGTAGTAGCATGCTTGTTTAGATACTGCTTGGTATCCCGTCAAGCGGATGACACGTAAATGAAGACATAGTAGTAAATACTAAATATTTTCAATTATAGTAGCAGTTACTAGAGAAATATAGATATAGTAGCATCTACTTAAGAAATATAGATATAGTAGTAAATACTAGAGAAATATAGCTATGGTAGCTAAGATCTTAAAAGAGAGCCTCTCAAAAAGAGGTTCCATTAGTTGAGTGAGCGCTGCTTCGGCAATTGCCCATGAACGGCGTGCTAGTTAAGGCCCCCAAGGCGCTCCCGATTATGAAATAGTTTGGACTTGGATGGAATCACTTGCTAGAGGCATGCGGAGAAGGACTTGTTGACCTATTCTAAGACGAGGTTAAGTAAGTATTTGCGGCGTGAGTTACTAAGGTATGTAAGCACCATATAACAGTGTCACACGACCGCGGGAGACGAGACGAAGGATGAGTTGAAACAGTCGCGGTTTCTTCCATACATGATACATCTTTTATTCTGTCTTCTTTTCTTTTTTCTTCCATGGGCATCTCATCTAGCCCCGTACGCCATCTTCTCTGGAAGAGAGAGTCGTCTGATGGGGACGAAAAACGGTCCCAAGGGGGGGGGAGGGTCTCTTCTCTTTCTCTTTGGCATGTTAGTGTGTCGACAAGGGGTTCTTGCAGCCGGGTAACCATTACCGCTCCGAGGGCGCATGTCTGGGCTCACTGGATGAATTGGCTATTAGTATTTGTGTACCCCGTATTCTCCGTGTTGAGATGGCTTGGTATTTCGCATCTCGCCGTAGCGTGTGCAACGCCCATGTACAAGTATTTGTCCCAAGCAAAGCGTCTTCCCGCGAACGTCGTTATAAACGAGACGGAGCATCATCAATGCACTACTAGAAAACAGGCAACTGCTTGGCCAAAGCTTGTCTTGCCGACTTCTGGGTCCCAAGGATATCATGGACCCATGACTGTGGGTAAGCCTCCAGATTGGGCATGCAGCCGTCGACGTTCTCGAACCTGCGTGACCAATTCGGCATGCAGGCTGATGAATCTGGAAAGGCGGCGTTGATGAGTGAGCCCTATCGCTAAAAAGGGGGTTCACGGCATTCCGGCAGAGATGACGGTTGGCCGCTGCGGTACTTGAGAGAGATAGGGTAGTATCGTATTCTCCAGATGGACATGTTGGGAGGTTGTTATTTGTTCTGCTATTTACAAAGACATACCCCGACATACCCCGTGTGATACGTGTATGCCCAAAGACGAATCCAAAGCTGCCAATCCTTGACACTCTGTAATCGAGGTTTTATTATACATTCCTTTTAGTCTTCAAATCCCATCAAGAGGAACCCACAATAACCCCGTCATGGTTCGCTCAACTCATACCCTCCATGAACTCGACTCGGTCAAGCAGCATCTGTCGGTATCCCATATACTCCTTGAGCCCTTCCCACTCTGGGCCCATTTCCTCTCCGTGTCTCCAGGGCTCCTTGAAGCCCCATGCACATGCCACCTTGTCTAGAGCCGCTCTCTCCTCCTCTCTCAGCCATCGATACCGTAGCGGAGTTCCGGGGGTCCAGGTCACTCGCTTCATCTGGTCCTTGTGGCTCAGCTTGGCAATCATGCCCAAAGATCCAATCACGAGAAAGTATCCCGAGATGCCGGCCACACCAATTCCCGTAGCAGTGCTTATGTCCATGGTGTTTTGCCAATACGAAGCGTAGGCTGTTGATAGTCCAAAGATGCCAAATGGGAGGGTGGCGAGACCGAAGGCGGGGGCGGTACCGTGCTTGATCAGCTTCTGACGCTTGAAAGCCGGGAGAGAATATGAAGCCTCGATGATGCCGAGGGCTGAATCCAGATTCTTGGCATCGATTGCAGCCTGTAAAGCCATATCGGCAACGGCGGGCTCTATAGCTCGAGAAGCCGCATTGGGGTTTTGCTTCAGATACGCAATCTGACCGTTTTTGACGACGGGCTTGGGCTTCGTTGCGTAGAGTTCAAAGACGGCGGGCAATGACTCTGGCTGGCCGAGCTGTGATTGAATGGCGACGTAGAGCTCTAGGAACTCCGGCGTCATCTCGACATTCGGGTTCGAGATGATGGTATATGCCGCGTGAGAGATCCGGCTGGTTGCATCTACCAACTTGGCATCTATGGGGACTCTCGCACCCGTCCGCTCAGCTCCCAGAGACACCAACTTCGAGGCCGAAGCCTTGAACTGCGCCTCTGCCCGCTTCAGTTGGGGATGGAGCGCCGACGCGGCCCGTAGACACGACTGCAGTGCAGCCGCAGTCAGCTGTTTCGCCGGGATGCCGTCGACCGAGAGGAACTTGCTACAGCTATCCTCCGCTACGTTGGCCAATTGCGATGCATCTGTCAGTGGCCGCGGCGTTGAGGCTGGCAGGGCCTTTTCATTTGCTTCTGCGTCCGCTTCGGCATCTGCCCTTGAGGCTGAGACAGAGGTGGCCCATCTGGCCGGTGTTGATCTCCAGACTGAGCCCTGAGCAATCTGGCGGGGAGCCGATGATAGTATCCGGCTAGGGAAGGGCTGTCTTGATGCCTGCGCCGGCAATGACGCACAAGAATGGCATATAAAGCCAACCTGCCGAGAGTTTGCTCGCCGCATATTGGCTGAGTGAGGGAACGCGATATAATTGGCAGATAAAGAAGATGAAGTTGGCCAATTGCCAATGCAGAGCGCCGCGAGTGACTTCTGCGTCGTCGTGCTGCAAACTCGGCTTTGCAGCTTGGCCAGACCAGAGTCGCTATGGAGAAAGCGAGGGCAACGGGCGGCAAGGCGGAAAAGTCGAGGCGAGGTGTTGGAGGTTGGAGTTTTGGCACAAAATCATCGCATGCAAGGCTGTGATTGGCTCCACACTTTGGCGGGCGCAGTATTACAGCAAGGTACAGCGCAGTGGGCGAACAAGGAGCCGAGATGAAGCGCTGAATGACGAGTTTGTGCGACTGCAATCACATGAAACAAAACAAACAAAAGAGACGAAAAAACAAAGGAAAATTATTATGCCAATCCCTTCCGTCTACCATCCCATATCGTGGCCTGTATTTCCTCTTTCTTCAACCTCTTCGCTCCCCAATACAGTAGAACATTCTGGTTCCAAATCAATCCCAGCCCATCCCAGGCCTGTCAGGTCGTGAGGCTTTGCCAAAAGTGGGGCCCCGATTGGTTCTCCTCGACCTCCGTCTGCTGCACCTTCGTAAGCCTGATGACGAAACGTCCAGGCTGCCAGAGACCAGCCTCTGCCTCTCTGCCTCTGCCTCTGCCTCTGCCACAACGCCCTCGCCATTATCCGACCTGTGCAATTCGCCTGCGATTCCTCTTGGATACCCGCATTTCGGGGTCTTGATCCAGCTGCACGACCGTCCTCCCGAGTCTTGCGCCGTGCATGAGACCCTGAGCCGCCTCTCCCAGCCTCCCAGCGCAGCGACAACCCGAGACTCCAACTGGACGAAACTGTCGATATCTCAACTCTTGCTCCTCGCAAGCTGCCATGCCGCCTCCTCCGCCGCCGCCGCCGCCTCCGTTGCCCGGGGCTGGAATCCCTCCTCCCCCTCCTCCCCCTCCAGGAGGACTTCCAGGTCGTCCACCGCCAAGTTCAGGAGGCCGAGTGCGTTATTCCCACGAACGGAGATGCAGGGTGAAATCGTTGTAGCTGACCTGTTCCCAGAACGCTCTGCTTGCCGACATCAACAAGGGCAGATCTCTTAAAAAGGCCGTCACCAACGATCGCTCGGCCCCAGTTGTTGGCAAGACATCCTCTTCATCAGGCCCTGCCATAGGCGGCGCCCCTCCTATCCCTGGCCTTGGTTCGGCGCCTTCTATCCCGGGCCTTGGTTCAGCGCCTCCCATCCCAAGCCTTGGCTCAGCGCCTTCTATCCCTCAGAATTCTCTACTTGCCGACATCAGCAAGGGGAAATCCCTTAAAAAGACCGCTACCAACGATCGCTCGGCCCCGGCTGTTGGCGGTGCCCCAGGCGGCGCCCCTCCCATCCCTGGCCTGGCGCCGCCCGTCCCAGGAAATCGAGCGCGAAGCAACAGCGAGCAAAACTCTGGCCCAGCCGACTCGGCGCCGCAGCTGGCGGGTCTGTTTGCCGGCGGCATACCGAAGCTGAAGAAGCGAGGAGGAAACATTGATACGGGAGCCGGCGCGGATGCCTCGTTTGCCTCGGATACGGAGAAAGCGCCATCGCATTCGGCGCCCCATGTCCCGACCTTTGCCGCCCCGAAACCGCCAGCACCGCCGGCCGATGCTGCGCCAGCTATCCCTGGACTTCCTGGACGAGGACCTCCCATACCCCCTCCTGGCGTCCCAGCCTTGAAGAAGGCCAAGGGACCGCCGCCGCCGATCGGAAAGAAGCCGCCGCCGCTCCCAACATCTCGGAAGCCTTCGTCCAGAGCCACGCCGCCTCCAGCTCCCCCTCCGCTGGCCCCAGCTTCAGCTGCCCCAGTTCCCGCAGCTGCCCCCCCTCCTCCTCCGCCGCCGCCAGCATCCGCAGCACCGGCTCCATTTGCGCTCCCTCCTCCTCCGCCTCCTCCTCCAGCAACCTCGGCACCTGTACTGCCCGGAGCACCACCGCCTCCTCCACCCTCATTCGCACCTCCACTACCCTCGCCATCGTCGACTCCTCGGGCTCAACCGCCGCCACCACCTCCGGCTCCTCCTGGAGCAGCTCCTTCTCCTCCTCTGGCACCGCCAGCTCCACCAGTCTCGGCTCCAGCTCCGCCCTCTTCCAATGGCCCCTCTGTACCTCGAGCCAGGGGATCATCTCTTCGCCATACCATGCTTGATCCCAGCACATTTACCTTGACTGCGAACGGTGGCGGCTCGTCAGTGAGCCTGCCGTCCAAGACGTCCAACCACTCGCCATCACCGAGCCAAGGCGGTACGCGGATTTATATCGACGATAAGAGATGGCTATTCAAGGATGACAGCGTTTTCCCGAAGCCTCGGGATTTTGTGGGTGGTGTAAGGAGATATAGGGCAGGCAGAGGGAGCAGCGTTCCGCTTGATTTGAGCGTGTTGAATTAGGCCAATAGATGATGATATCAGTTTGATTTTCCGGAGATTTATCTTGTGACTAGTGAAGAATGATATGGAATACCAGTGCGGAAGTACCCCCAATCTATATATACACACGCTTTTATATATACTTTTCATACAGAACTTGTCCCGTGTTTGTGAGACTTGTATTTGTGAGACATACATTCTTGATCATAGCCCATGGAAAGAAACCACTATCTTTCTGCGAAGAAAGCATGGGCAGACCAAGCCAGGCTTTTTATGAACAGAACCCCGTCAAACCCTTTTTCGGTGTTAGGCCCTCGTCTTTGAAAATTCTTCGTTTGTTGTGTATTGTACAAAGTGTCTATATAACCAACCCTCGCTTTTTCCTGTTGATACAATTTTTTTCTCCTCATCTCTTTTTTTTTTTTTACATCGACTTCAAGTAGTTGGACTCCTTGATCGTGGCCCTCCTCTCCTTGCGCATCGCCTTGCGCAGCTCCTCCCGCTTGTCCGCCGCGGCAATGTTGTCGAGGACGCTGCCGTTCTTCTCGCCGGGCAGGTTGATGGACTGCTGCTGCAGCGGCACCTTGGGCGCGAGGGCCTCGAGGTTGCCCTCGGCGAGGAGTTTGGCCTCGAGGGCCTTTTGGCGCTTGGCGGCGAGTTTTCGCTGTTTCTTGGATTTTGCTAGGAGAAGAGAAGATCAAACTTCATATTAGCCACGGGTTTCTCTCTTTGCTTTTGTGTTTGGGAGGTGGTAACGTCGTACAGAACTCGTCGCCGAGGTTGTCATCTTCGGCATCGGCCTTCTTCATGACGTCTAGGCATGACCATAGCCACTCTGGGTAGTCCTCATCCTTCAAGGCGACGGGGTCTTGCCCGCCCTTTGTGTAGTTGAGCCCGTTGAGCACTGTTCCCTCTGGGCAGATGGATCTTGAAGTGGGCGTGGGCTTTGGTGCTTCGCCGGCGTCGACGACGGGCGTTGACAGCTGCGGTTCGGCCGAGTAGAAGCGCAGCGACGATGAAAATTGTCGTGAGAAGGGCAATTGGCGGCGCACGACGGTGGCGCGCAGGCACCGGGTGCAGATCATTGTGAGGGCGGGTGGGTTTCTATATGAGGTGAGGTTTGTCTCTTGGTGAGGCGAGGCTCTATTGGTGGTTGGAGAAATTTTGGGTGTGCGTTTGGCTTGGTGGGGGTGGCCAATGGGATCGATTAACCGCAGAAGCTCTGGAGTGCTCTCAGCCTCATCCTTTTAAACTGTGCATCTTTGACGAAATGATGGCCGTTTGGAGTGAATTGAGCATTGGTGGTTTTCTATAGTTTACTTTTTCTTCAAATTTAATTCCGTTGCTTCCTGATATATACACTGGCAGAGCGTTCAGCCTCTACGCTCAATATCATGGCTGTGGTTCTAACAAACCATGGCTCTACTCCATCCCAGACAAGCCCTCCGCCGATTGATTCGGCCGCCCAAAAATTCAAAAATACTATGACACATGTTTCAACAACTTGGTTTCATCGGACTCATGAGAATCGTCCCTGGTTCAGCTTGGCAACCTTGTCGCTTGTGTGCACCTTGCGCTCCAAATCAAAGTCTTGGTCCTTCTTCTCCAAGTAGTTTTGTTGGATAAACTTGGTTCCCTTGACTTTGTTCGCCCCCAGCAATTGCAGGTATTTTTCTGTAATTTTAAGCAATGAGTATTTTTTGCAATTTCTCCCAGGAATACGGACATTGGAATCCGCCCTGCGCGCTTCCCCAAACTCACCTCTCAAATGGCCGCAGTTCTCCAAGTGGTTGACTCCCTCCCGGACGTAGCACTTGCCCAATTCCTCGCCGACGATGCGAGTCATCATGGCGCCAACCCATTGTTCCCGGATGATGGCATCCTCGGCAGCCTTGAAAGCCTTGGTATCGTCAAAGTCGACGCCGTTGAATGTGGGGGCCACCGTGGGCTTCTGGCTCTTGAAGAGCTCGGATTCCGGTGTCGGCATGTTGCAGAGGCGGCTGGGATTTGAAGTTTCGAAAGGGATACGGCTGGGGGCGAGGCCGAATGGGTCGAGGGCTGAGGCAACGGAAGCTCGAATAATCTCCTGATGCTTGAGCACCTTTGGAATGCCTGCCTCACTCAAGGTCCGCTATGCGATTAGCCTTTCGCTGCTTGCCTCAGGCAACAACTTCTAGCCACAGGCTGCAGGTGCGCGTGTGGGGTAGGCCAATGACGAGCTATGCCGTTCCAACCCACCGCCTTTGGGAAGCCCACTATTCTGCCGGACAGGAAGAAAAAATTCTGAAAAAAAAAAAGTTGGGTGCGGCGCGCAAAGGCCCCAACCACCCAAAGGTTTAAAAGCTTGCGACGCTGCTGCTGCTTGACTTTCTTTCTCTCCCACATCCACCTTTTGAGACAAGAAAATTTTCATTCTTGTGTCGCCATCTCTTCCTTATACCCCTCTTATCAATTCTTTTTCTTCCAATCAATCTAATACTCTTTCACAATGGCCAAGTCCACCAAGGTCAAGGAGTCCAAGAAGGCTGTCGCCGCTGAGCCTGTCAAGGCCGTCGCTGCCAAGGCTGCCACTTCCAAGAAGGTTGCCAAGGAGGAGCCCTCCAAGAAGTCCAAGAAGAAGGAGCCCGAATCCTCTGACGAGTCTTCTGAGGAGGAGGAGGACTCTGACTCTGCCAGCGAGAGCGAGTCTGAGTCTGAATCCGAGTCTGAGGAGGAGACCACCAAGAAGCCCACCAAGAAGGAGGCCAAGAAGCCTGCCAAGAAGGAGGAGTCTGAGTCCGAGTCCGAGTCCGAGTCCGAGTCTGATGACTCTGAGTCCGATGAGGAGGAGACCAAGAAGCCTGCCGTGAACGGCAAGGCCAAGGCTGAGGAGTCTGAGGACTCTGAGTCCGAGTCCGACTCCGATGAGAAGCCTGCTGCCAAGGTTAGTTACTATACACTCGCTCAATTGGCCCGAACTTTGACTAACTTTCTTGCTCTCTCTTAGGCGTCCAAGTCTGATGACAGCGATGACTCTGAGGAGGACTCTGACGACTCTTCCGACGACGAGGAAGAGGAAAAGAAGGCTGAGCCTTCCAAGAAGCGCAAGGCCGATGAGGAGATCGATACCTCTGCCAAGAAGACCAAGGTCGACAGCAACGCTGCCCCTACACTCTTTGCCGGCAGCTTGGCCTGGAGCGTTGATGACGATGCCCTCTACCAGGCATTCCAGTCTTTCGATGGCCTTGTTAGTGCTCGTGTTGTTACCGAGAAGGGCACTGGCCGCAGCCGTGGCTTTGGCTATGTCGACTTCAAGGATGCTGAGTCTGCTCAAGTTGCCTACGAGGCCATGCAGGGCCAGGATGTTGGCGGCCGTAACATCAACCTCGACTACGCCAACGCCCGCCCTGAAGGTTCCGACCCCCAGGGCCGCGCTGCCGACCGTGCTAAGAAGCACGGTGACACCCTCAGCACCGAGAGCGACACCCTGTTCGTCGGCAACCTGCCCTTCGACACCGATCAGGATACCGTTACCCAGTTCTTCAACGAAGTCGCCGCTGTCACCAGTGTTCGACTGCCCACTGACCCGTAAGTTCTATGGCTTTAAAGAGTCTGTCTCACTTGTTACCTTTACCATGCTGACATATCCTTTCTATAGTGAGAGTGGTAACCTGAAGGGCTTTGGTTATGTCTCCTTCGGCTCCGTTGAGGATGCCAAGGCTGCCCTCGACGCCAAGAACGGTGCTACTATTGGCCACGGCAGATTTGCCCGCAGCCTGCGACTTGACTTCTCAAGCCCTCGTCCTCAGGGCGGTGCTGGCGGTCGTGGCGGCTTCGGTGGTGGCCGTGGAGGTCCCCGTGGAGGCGGTCGCGGTGGCCGCGGTGGCCGCGGTGGTTTCGGCGGTGGTCGTGGCGGCAACTTTAGTGCTGTGAACCGCACCAAGCCCGCTGGCACCAAGATCTCCTTCGACTAAGAAGGCTTTGTCCGACATGGGGGTTTAATATATATGGCGGGCTGTGGGTATTTGCGGTTTCGGTTATAATCTACGTTGGCTTTTTGAGATTCAGTGGGCTTTGGGCAACGCTCTTTGGTAATAGAGTGCAGATGAACGCTGGGGGCTCTGGCACTTGGTAATCTGTGGGCTCATCGCCTTGCTTCTCACGAGAAGCATGGTGAAGATGGCATAGTTGGGCTTTTTGACGTCGGCGGCAATGATGGTTCCACCATCGGCGCCTTGTACACACACAAACCAGTGGGCTTCCGAGGGATTTGAGGGCTTAATCTTGATTCATTTCGTTGACGGCCACGATGGGGCATGTAGACGAAAGAACCAACTTTGATGGCTGCGAATACTTCTGAGGGACCTGGGGGCTTTTTTTGCAAATGCAAATTCTTGATACGTGGGCTGCACTTGAGGACTCGTACGAGACCAACCTTTGCTTAACTCGTTTACAAGGTAAAACCCTCCGATGTACACCGATATAATTCTCGCTCCAAGAGACGGGGAAGTCTCCGCCCACGACCTTTGCATTGCATTGTAAAAATAGGCGTTTGCTACGGAAAAGTTTTTTCAAATTTCTTTTGCCCTTTTACTAGACATGATGTAACTCTGTAGAGCCCGAGTATAACAATACAAATGTCTTTCCGATTAATTTAACTTGATATGCGCTCTTTTTATTCCGCCTGTGAGATGCAGACATGCCGAATGATGATTCGGCATCCAGTTGCGATTGGCTCATGTTCTAGGATAGCAGATGACCTATCACCTTGATGCGACAAGGCTGAGCAAATCCGGTGGCGCGCTCGTCACCGTGTGACAAACGCCATTGCTCTCCCTGGATTTGACACATGCCACACCTGGTCGTTTGCTATCAAGGGAGAGGCGAGCCGATCCGATGCAGGTGATTGGACAGTCTGCGCACAGTGGCTGTTTGCAGGCAGAACAAGCAAAGCAAGCGGTAGTAACGAAGCTGTCTCGTCTGACTGTGCCGTGGCGGATCAGCGTTCGTTCCTATCTCGAGGCGGAAGAGCAAAGTACAGCATGCACCGGAGCGAGAACCTAGATGTCCTAGCAGGCGACCAGATCAGAATACGCGCAGTCGCATTCGTATCTAGATGTCAGTGTTTTTGTTGTTTCAAAAGTGATACGACAAGTCGGGAGACTGTGAACCCCCAAAGTTGCAAGGGAGGACATCCATTACGTCTTGGGATGCTCATGCGGGCTCTGGCTGGTTTAGGCAAAGCCCCCGCCCTGTGCTCATGACCTGGGCTGGGCTTACAAGTTACAGCTAAAAGGCTCCAGCTGCTGAGCAAAGAGAGAGAGAGCCTTGTAAGTTTTTGGGGGAATGTCTCCGCGTGAGGGAGGTAGCGGTACTTTGCCGGGGTCATGCACACCGCCCGGTTGGGGAAATGCTGGGCTTTGACGTACCGTGCGCGCGACACTGTCGTCTCTTGAGTATATGTTTCTGGCATCATTGCCGGAGCCATTGATCATCTGGGTTTGGTGTCTTGATTGGTGATTGAATACTGCCGCAAGGGATTTACAGGTCTACACTGTTAATTGGGCGGGTTTATTCTCTGTAAACTATTATGCGAGTAGGAAACTTGTTGGGTAATTCCGCTTCATCTCGAGTAGTGCCAACTTCCGTATTTTGCCTGTTCTGTTCTCCCCCCCTGGCATGTCTGTTAGTACTTAGCAAGAGTAATGATATTCCAAGCAAAAAGGTAATTCCGCTTAGGAATCGACCTGTAATCGTGATTCATTGATCTTATTCACCTGCTCAACCTGTCTCGGCCGTCTTCGTCTTCTTCGCTAGATTACATAACACCGCTCTCATCCATGTTCCCCCAGATCTCGTCATTTGCGGTACCTGGGTAGTGACGCAATTGGCCAGCGCGTGATGCTCCCACGCACTGTCCCCTGCAGTTCTGACCAAAGTACCAGTACTGCTGACTGCCCGTCGTTTATCGTCATGCAGCAGCCTCTAGTCCAGACAGGCCATCATCTAGCGAGACAGCTCGGCCCAACCTCTCAACAGAACGCTCTCCATCTTCGATTCTGGCCATCTTTCCTCATTTCCATCGCCCGTTTTTTTTTGGACGGGATTTGCGACTTCTTTACCCATCTGTGAAATCATCACCGCCCCTCGATATTTGTAACGGCATCGTGGTCAAGAGAGCTTGCGCGTGCGATCTGCTGGCTGAGTTGCGATCGGGTGGGTCGCGGTCACCGATAAGGAGTGCAGGACTACGGGGAATAGGACCTATCGCCAGCGTGTTGAGGACAAACAACATCGTCGGCCTGGCGACTTTTGGTTGCTGATATTCTAAACTTTTGCAAAAACCGAAACGATGGCTCATCAGCCGCCATTTGATGAGCAGGCGGGCCCCAGCGGGCAGCGATCCATCAGTATGCCAAACGTGATCCCGAGCGCCAGTCTTCACCAACGACGCTATGATGGTTCGTCATCGCCAGTGACATCCCTCGACGACCGTGGTCCATGTCCGCTAACTGCAGCAGGAAACACCGATTCTTGGGTCGAGGTTGCGTCGCAGCCATCGTCCTCGTCGCTCTCCAGCATCGGCGATGAAATAGTCACAACTGGCTTGCGAGTTGGAAACTCTTACAGCCGTCGCCGGCGAGTGCAGGCATCAGCGAGATCTGTTCCACGTGTACAGACCACCATTCCGATTACGGGGACGAGCAGCCAGGATGAATATGATGAAAGCGACAGCGAAGAGGACCACGTCCTCTCCAGCTCGACCGAGAACATGCAGCCGTCGCCAGAAGAGGATATGGAGGATTCTGACGGGGAGTCTGACGGAGATGAAGGCACGGCTCTAGGGGGAGCGCAAAACCAAACCGCCTTTCGGCCACAACCAAATGCATTCTCGCATCCCCCATCACACCAGAGAAGTTACTCGTCAAATGCGGCCATGTCCCCACATCCCCACGGCGACTTTACACGACCGTCCTTCTCGCAGCGCTCGCATACGAGAGTTCAACGTGGGCCGAGCTTCATGTCGCCATCAGTTCGCGAAGACAACGACGCAGCCCTCCGTGCGTCCCTGACCACTCTCCTGTCATGCGCAGCTGCAGCTAGAGGCCTGCCTAAGAGTAAAGAGGAAACCGAGGCGCAGCGAGCTGCACAGTCCGGAGTCGGTCCCAGCAGCCAGCCCATGGAGCTCCGCTTCGTTCCCGAAAAGGACCTGTCGGAGGGATCCGAGAAACCTGAACCGACCCCGGCATCAGAGGCAGCGGCTCAAGCCAAACAAGGACAGGCTTCTCCTGCTAGGTCATCCTCGCGGTCTCGCGCACCCTCGGAGAAGACAAAGCGGGTTGTATCAACAGCCCGAAACCCTCGAGCGATAAAGAAGAAGAAAACGGCAGCTACAGCCGTTGTTGCGGAGGAGACCCTCATTTCTCCAACTCTCCTCACCTGGGTTGTCAGTGCCGGAGTTGTCGTGCTCGTATCCGTAGTTGGCTTTGGAGCTGGCTATGTTATCGGGCGTGAAGTCGGCCGCCAGGAAGGCTTAGCAGTGAGCGTCAGCAGCGTCAACGAGACTGCTTCTTCCAGCCGCGACGTGATTCGCTCGTCCGGCAGCGGCCTGAGACGTTTCAGATGGGGCGCCGTAGGAAGAAGCATTGTCGCTCAAGCGTAAATGCGTCGACGGCTATTGTTACATTTAACTCATCTTTCGGTGATTCTTGAGTGATGCAGAGATACCTTGAAGTTTGAACCGATATGGCAGCATACACAGATACCACATACACGATGTTCTTTATTTAGCAGCTGGCTTTTATTCCCCCCCTTTTTAGGCAAAGGACGACTGGAAGGGTATTGGCGTTTGACAAAGGACCTGATTTGGACATGGACTGGTTCACAGATTGCGGACGGAAGACACTAGGGCAGCGTTTGCTTTGCTTTGCTTGGGCTTTGCTTGGATTTCCTTTTTTTTTCTTTTTCGCGTTTCTCTCAGCCTCTTCTTTTCGTTGCTGTCATGTACGCAGATATGCGTTTATGCATGTATCTATCTGCATCTAACGGATGATGACTTAGATATGGGCTGCGATCGGGGTCTCCATTTTGAGTGCTCGTCGTTACGGTGATGCAGCTCGGCAGATACTCACTTCTCTTCTCGATAACATGTCATTCAATACTATTTCTACGGGTTACTTCCAATCACGAACTGGTGCATTCTGCAACAGGCATGTGCTAATGCATCTCTCATCGAGTCTTTGCCGTTGGTCATTGCTAGATCTGGGAGATTGTTCGATACTGTGGAGGTTGTGAGGTGGCATCAGACCACCTGCTGCAATAATTTGTTTCTTCTTCTCCTCCAACAGCCGGATGTCTTGACAAGGAAATAGATAGGAGCCAATTGAATTTGTTTGATTGCACGGAAATTGCGTGTCTATACGTGTATTTGCCATGCTTCTTACTTGGTGTTGTCATTCGGCTTTGAGAAAAGACACAAACGTATTCGCATTCGCCCGCAATCCGCCACATCGAGCAGGCCATGGAACGCAAAAGCAGCTGCAGCAGAAATTACACGTATAAAAACGAAAATGCAACACAATCGCGCACAGATCCGAATACGAGCCCCACCGATTTCCCGTTTCCCAAGGCGGTCTGCGCTTTCCGTGCGTTTATAACCTGCCATCACGCGCGCTCTGATTGGCTGATCTCCCACACTTGCCTCGTGGGGCAGCGCACCTCAAGTGGGGCTCGTCTCTTTCCCCCCCTGGATCTGGCCTCTTTGGCAGCAAAAAAAAGAACAAAAAAGATGCCAATTTGAGCCAGTCTTGATAGAGCCAAAGGGCCACAGATTAAGGCTCGTTTTGGGCTGACTTATCGAACCACTGGTGGTGCCGTAGCTGCATTTCCTCTGTCTCTCTTTGTCTCTCTCCTTTCTTTTTCTTTCAGATTGAGTCTTTTGCTTCTTGTTGATAAAAAGGACGCGGGGCCGGCAGTCTCTCTCTCCGTCTTCCCTTCTTTCGCTCCAGCGCGGCAGACCAGTTTTTCTTCTCTCTCCATCTCGACAAACCTCCCAATTCACCTGTCTGCCACCTATCCGCAACGATGGGCATCCTCCAAGATGCCCTCAGCCATCCGACGGCGCAGCTCTACTTTGAGCAGAGCGTTGGCGCGCAAGTCGCCATTGGCGTTGCTGGCTTCCTCGCCGTCGTCGTCTTCTTCAATGTCGTCCAGCAATTGCTCTTCAAGAACCCCTCCGACCCGCCCATGGTTTTCCACTGGTTCCCCTTTATTGGCAGCACCGTGATCTACGGCATGGATCCCCCCAAGTTCTTCCGCGACAATCGTGCAAAGGTGGGCAAAAATACACATCCCGTTTTACAGTCGACCTGGTGGACAATGGCTAACACGCGCAATTGACAGTACGGCGACGTGTTTACCTTTGTCCTGCTCGGCAAGAAGACGACCGTGGCCGTGGGCCCTGCTGGAAACGACTTTATTCTCAACGGCAAGCTCAAGGATGTCAACGCCGAGGAGATTTACAGTGTCTTGACCACGCCCGTCTTCGGACGAGACGTCGTCTATGACTGCCCCAACGCCAAGCTGATGGAGCAGAAGAAGGTGAGTTTGTGCTTGCGCATAGCTGTGCAGTAAAAATGACACTCTGGATTGGGCGCTAACACGATACTCAAGTTCATGAAAATTGCTCTTACGACCGAAGCGTTCAAAAGCTACGTTCCCATCATCTCCCACGAGGTTACATCATACTTCAAGCGCGACCCTGCCTTCAAGGGCAAGTCTGGAATTGTCGATATCCCCAAGAAGATGGCCGAGATCACAATTTTCACTGCCTCCCACGCCCTCCAGGGCAGCCTCATCCGCAGCAAGTTTGACGAGTCACTGGCCGATTTGTACCACGACCTTGACATGGGCTTCACCTCCATCAACTTTGTGCTCCACTGGGCTCCTCTCCCCTGGAACCGCAAGCGTGATCACGCTCAGCGCACCGTTGCCAAGATCTACATGGATACCATCAAGGAACGACGAGCGCTGGGTGAAGATGACAAGGAGCTGGATATGCTGAAGCACCTCATGAAGTCGGCCTACAAGAACGGCAACCCTGTTCCTGACCACGAGATTGCCCACATGATGATTGCCCTTCTCATGGCTGGCCAGCACTCTTCGTCCTCCACCAGCTCTTGGATCATGCTCCGTCTTGCTCAGTACCCCCAGGTTGTCGAAGACCTCTACCAGGAGCAAGTCAAGGCCCTGGGCGCCGATCTGCCTCCCCTCCAGTACGAGGATTTCGCCAAGCTGCCCCTGAACCAAGCTATCGTCAAGGAGACTCTCCGCCTGAACGCCCCTATCCACTCCATCATGCGCAAGGTCAAGCAGCCGATGCCCGTCCCCGGTACCAAATATGTCGTCCCCACTTCTCACGTTCTTCTCGCTGCTCCTGGCGTCAGTGGCTCTGACCCTACCTACTTCCCCAACCCTGATAAGTGGGATCCTTACCGCTGGCTGCCTGGCTCTCCCAACGCTCCCCTGATGGCCCGAAATGACGAGGAGGAAGAGAAGATCGACTATGGCTATGGTATTGTCAGCAAGGGCGCGGCCTCTCCTTACCTCCCCTTTGGTGCCGGCCGTCACCGATGCATTGGCGAGCACTTTGCCAATCTCCAGCTCCAGACCATCATTGCCGAGACGGTGCGCATATTCAAGCTGAGCAACGTGGACGGCAGCAACAACATTGTCGCCACAGACTACGCTTCCCTATTCTCTCGACCTCTTGAGCCTGCCAAGATTCGGTGGGAGCGGAGAGACTAAAGATGTCAACGTCTTGAGGGGAATACGGATGAGTTAAAAAGGGCAAGCAAAAATACACCCCAGTTTTTTTTTCTGAGTTGGGTTGGATGCGTACTGTATATGATATCTTACGTCGGAGTTTTTGGAATGCATGGGAGGAAACAAAGAAAGCAACATGATGGTAATGGCTGCATCATGAACTGTAATAACTATTATCAACTATTACTACCTAATAACGCCAGTAGAGCTTTGAATAGAGCTAGACGGAAAAAGGAAAGACGAATAGAAGCTTTCTCACCTACAAATAGCAAAAAAGGTCCTTTTGACAACATCACATGCACTCTTTTGTATAAAACAAAGTTGCCCCGAATCGGAAAGACTGTTCGAACTGACACCCCGATCTCTCCCTCCAAATCGGTCTTGGGGCCGAAGGTGAGACGTAAACCCGCCCGGCAAAGCCGCCATATCCGGTCCAGGCCACGGGGGCTCAGCATCCAGATCTCGGCAAGGCACATTGACAGAAATAGTAAATAGCGACCGCTCGCTAATAAAAAAAAAAGCCCCCCCTAGGTTCGCGCATGGGCTCACCTCGACGCTTTTTTAAGTTCTCTTCAATCACACCACGGCAGGATCCTTTATTATGGAGAGAAGCAGCCCCTGGGAGCTAGAGCTTGCCGTCCGTTCGGGTCGCCCTTTAAAGCCTTTCCCAGCCCGTAAACTTGCGTTCCTTTCTGTTCAGTCTCCTCATCATAGACCATACTCTCTGCTCATCGTGGCGTCATAAAGCTATTCCCATCTTTTTGGCCTCTTTTATAGAAGCTCACATTCACTTTTTATCTTGAGTTAGTGTTTGTTCACAAGATTTGCAACATGGCTTATCAGCACGGCCCCTATGTTCGACTCTGGGGCATCCGTCCGTCACAGTTGCCCTCAGAGAACGCGTCAGCACAGGATCTCACTCCTTTACTCCGATCAATATTGAACGAGGCAGTTCCTTTTGTCGGCACCGTACCACCGCAACCGCCGTCCTCGTCATCATCGGCCTCGTCGGGCAGATCCAACCAAGGAACTGGAGATGGACCTTGGAAGGCCAAGGGATGCAGGGCGTTTCACCACTCAGCCGCGCCAGTGCACATGTTTGAGCGGGTTGTCTCAGCTGAAGAGCTGAAAACGATAGCCAAAGACCAGGACCTCCCCCAGGCGAGCAACGGCTCGAAATTCAAGCCCGAAACCTGGAGTCTGAGACGAAGTGTTCACGAAGGAGCGAAGAAGGCCGGCACCGCAGACTGGGAGGAATGGGCGCAGTGTTTCAAGGAGGGCCACGCAGACGCCGAGATGAAGTTTACGCCCACGGTGATGAGCCACACGCTGAAGAAGCAGTGGGATTGCACGGGCGTAGAGATCACGCTGGGAGGCGACGTGTACGAGAACCTCACGCTGAAGCTGGAGGAGTCGGTGCACAAGATGCCTGCGCCGCTCAACAACCGCGCGTTTCCCGTTCTGCAGGTGACGGCGGCGGTGCGAGGACGGCGCGAGTTCATCGTTGTTCAGATCGCGGCGGTGCCGGAGACTCTCAGCAGCGAAGAGCCAAGGTCCGACGGCGCCCTGAGAGGCACGTACACGAGCGTGGAGCGCTTCAGGGAGGTGGACGAGCAAGGCAATGTCGAGTGGCTGATGGGGACGGTGTCGGATGCGAGAGGCGTGCTGCCGGCGTGGATCCAGAAGATGGCGGTTCCGGGGCAGATTGCCAAGGACGTGGACATGTTTCTGGAGTGGATTGCGAAGCAGCGAGAGGGGAAATAGACGGTGTGGGTTTTCTTCTTCTTTCTGATGACAGAGACGACTGATTATGTTGGTTGTTGGGACGTTGATGTGATTGATGTCGTATGGAGGATGAAGCGATGATGTGAAGAGCGCGGTTGTTATATACCTACTCAGTACCTTTCTATAAAGGTCTTATCTAATAGCGAAACGGTTTTGACCGCAATAGATTGCACCATTGCCGTTTTGGGATTTGCTCTGCGGTGTGGTTGGGCGGAAGGAGGATACAAGCGCTTTCCCCAGTCGTCCATCCTTACAATGAGAAGGAAGCATCTGGCCCTCATTACCTTTCACAATCATCATCATCACTTCCTCTACTCATCTTTTCTTCCTCATAATAATCTTTACACTATATGCTTTACTTACATCAAACATCGCAGATTCCCCTCAGACAGCTCAGTCCGAAGCCAACATGACTAGTAGAGGCCGTTCCGTCCCAGCAACAGTCCTACCGACTGGATCCAGCTCCAGATTCAACGACACCACCAAGGCCATAACCACAGCCCTGATACCCTCGTCCTCATCCATCTCGCCCATTCCCACAAACGGTTCCCTCACCACCAGGAACGGCTCCAAGCTCCTCGCCCAGGCAGACGCCCTCGCACGCATGACCATCGAGTTCAACATCCGCGCCGTCAGCGCCCAAACGGAGCGTCTAGAGAAGGGCCTCAACAAGCTCATGGTGTCGACTAAAGAAGACAAGACGTTCCGAGAAAGCCACGATGCGAGGCTGCAGAGCCTGTGTAAGGAGATTCTTGCGGTGAAGCGGCGTATGGAAGAGATTCAGGGGCCGGAGTTCATTGGTCACTGCAAAGATGGGCTGGAAGGATGTAAAGAGGAGGTGGGAGATTCTATTGAGTTACTGAAGAAGGAAATGGAGGAGCTTAGGGGCATGGTTGGGGATATGTCGAGCACGCTGGATAAACTCCCGACGGCGGCTGAAGCAGAAGCTTTGATAAGGCGCACTCAGGCTACAGTATCGACAACGCCGGGTAGAGAGATTCAAACGAGATCAAGGGCTGCAAAATCACTCGTGGAATCTAGTAAGTGTATTCATCACCCCTCCGATGCTCTACATGGGCATCTTGTCTTCCCAAGGTATACTCAATGCTCACAACTTGAGTCAAAGAAACAGCAAGGAGCCAGGTCCCCGCCAAGCAGCGTATTGACGATGCCATCGGCTCGACCCGCCGCTGGAACCGGGACCACAAGACTACCAAGCTCAGCGATGCCGCCTTCATAGCCAACTACCTTAGACAGCAATCCAAGCGCGATCCACCAATGGCAGCCCACATACAGAGATCGATCAAGCGCCATGTCAGCCGTAGTAGCCGCCAAAAGGCAAAGGCTCGTCCCAAGAACCTCGAGCAGTTTTGCCAGAATCTGGTGTGGAAGGACGTCATTGAGACGGCGGAGGAGGTGCTGGTGAGGAATGTGGCGCGGACCGCAAAAGCGTTGGAGGAGCGGGTGGGCTTGTCATGAATGAATGGGGTTGCATATACGGCTGAGATGTAGTGAGAAATGTACACGTCTTGATGTTCTTCCAAGATGAGCAAGAAGAACCCCTGTCAAACAGTTGTTGTAGTTCAATTTAGAACTTCCAGTTTCATGATACATACACGAGGTCATTTTATCCTGTGTTCATATCATAGTTTGATACTAGCATGTCTATTGAATCGCTGGTTGGCACCTAGCCTCCAAAAATATCGTTGAAAAAAGAAAAAAAAAAGGGGGCTATACCAAATCCCAATCGCTTCCTCCATATCGAAATAATCATCAAGTGAAGAAAACGAGTAAGACACATTGTAACGCCATACCCAGCCGCCGTTTCTTGCACGTTATAATCATTCTCGCCCTTTTAACCAGTCCGTAAACTCCACGCCAGGGCGAATGGCAAAAAAAAAAAAGCATACCAAAAAAACAAAAGCTCAGTAAAAAGACTCCTCCTTTTCACCGGACGACGACGGATTATTATATAATTAGAGTGAAAAACGAAGCTCCCCATAAGTGATCAAGGTCCTTAATCATCGGCCTCGATGCCGATGGAAGACTGCTTGAGTTCAATCTCCGACTTGAGCTGCTTGATCTGGTTCTCAAGACGCGTCCTGAGGATCTTGTTCTGTGTCCGTTCAAAGTCGGCCACACGAGCGGCGAGCTGCTTCTTGAGATCGTTGATGATGTCCTTGACGCCCTGCTCTTCGTCGCGTTGAGCACGCGCATCTTCATCAAGGTCGTCATCGTCATCGTCGTCGTCATCATCGTCGTCGTCGTCGTCCTCAGATTCGCTTGCCTCGATGCTATGCTGTAGGCCCGCTGAGGCCGAAGGCGTTCCAGCGAGAGCAGCCATGGGAGTTTGCGTGTCCATGGCAGTAGCGGGGGTTTCGGCCATGAGTTCGTCGGCAAAGGCTGCTTCCAAATCGGCCTCGAGATCGAAATCGTTTTCTTCCTCGATGCCCATGGAGACGTGCTGTTGGCCGAAATAGCCCATGCTATCGTCCATCTCGCCTTCAGCGTCCTCCTCTCCGTCTTCATCGACGCCGTTTTCACGCTCATCGACCCATTCCCATTTCGTGGAGGCGCACTTGGCGTCTTCGGTGAGAAGTCGTTCGACTTCAGCTTCCTTGTCCTCGATTTCCTTGCGGCTGATGGTTTTGGCAAATCGTCGATTCACGCAATCGTGCATAGGCGGTGTCAGGCCGTGTGGCCACTTGAAGTTTGAATCAATTATGCTGGGCAGAGGAACGTGCCTGGCTTCCTCTTCGCTCTTGACAGCCTGGAATGCGTAGAGCATCTGGCAGATGTCTGCCGATTTCATCAATGACTTGCGGTCCCACGTCTTCATCGATTCTGTGATGGTGGGCAAATCGACCATGACAGCCGCAAAGCACTGGCCCTTGACAGCCACAACTCCACGTCGAGAGTCCTCTTCGAAAAATCTCATGTAAATATCAGCCCCCCCTGCCGCCTTGGGCAGCCCAATCTTGCCGTTCTCCATACACGTGCGCACGTAGTCTGCGTGCTCGCCGGGCAACATGCGTAGGATAAACTGCTCTTCGATCGCCGGATCAACTTCATTATCGCTGGCTTCGGAGTCGTAGCCATCGCCGGGAGGATGGACAGGCGGACGACCACGAGGCTTGAGCACCAATTGAGTTAGCCCAGCCTTGGATCCCACCTTGACCTTTGTTCCGCCACCTCCTCCACCTGCCTTGGCCAAGGGCCTGATCTTGATTTTCTGTTTTGTCGCGGGCGGGGGGCCGTTGCCCACGGTACCAGCCGTGCTTCCACGCAGCGGCGCCTCGTCTTCGTCGTCGCTAAGCGAGCGCTTCTTGCTTTCGATGAGCTTCTGACTCGGTTTCGCTTGTCGGCCCGCTTTCGTCGTCACCACTGGCGGTAGCCCTTTATCCTTGTCTTTTTCTTTCTCCTTCTTGGTCTCTTTGTCCTTGCCCACGTCCTTCATCAACACATCCTTGTTCGCTGAGGCTCCTGCCGGCGTCGGCGGCTGTGACGAGCTGATCTTTAGCTTCAGCTTGCGCGGACCTTCGCCGGGCGTCATTAGAGGCCCGTGTGTGGACGAAGAGGCCCCTCCAGGTGCCACTGCAGCGTCTCCGACGAAGGACGACGAGCGGCTCACGTTGAGCTTGAGCCGCGGCTTCGGGGGTGGTGCAGGAGTTGCAGGAGCCGCGTTGGCATCGCCTCCGGGACTGGGAGCCGACATGGTCGTGGTCTGGAGGAGAGTGGTTCGATGGCGATGTAAAGAGTAGAAGAAAGAAAGTCGGGAGGGATTGTAGATGTTTGCTCTGGTTGATTGCGGAAAAGAAAATGGGAGTGGAGGAAGTAGCAAGTTGGGAATTCAAGTTCACGGAAGCTTTGTCGCGGAAGCCACGCTCGGGCAGTAGCCTCGCAGGGAATTGTGGGGCTTCCAACGCGCTATTCAGATGTGGCAACTTGCACTATAAAACAGAGATTCAGATTACATGAAAAGCCCATTAAGAGATCCGTACAATACCAAAAAAGAGAGAAATCTCAACTATTCTTCTACGTCGGTTTTTCTTTCTCTCTTCTCATAACCAGTAAATGTTACCTCAAAGAAATTACTAGCAACGCCGCCATGACAACGTCTGTCTAGCACTTAGACCATATTATAGCCTATACTTTTACTTCAAGACCAAGATTCAAAAGCATAAAGTGATACATTTTTGTATGTTATTGCCATTCGATGAATTCACAGCTTATCTGAGAAAGTCTTTTGTAAATGAATGCCGTCCCAAGTCCAGCAACACAAATATGAAACATAGAGAATAGTAGTGTAAAGAAAAAACAGTCATGCTCGCTTCATCAAAATCATATCCCCCAAACGCCGTGCAATGCACATCCACAACCAAAGTCTGCATAGGCAGACTCCCAAAAGGCTATTTTTTTTTACATGTGAGATCAAGGTGGTTTCCCCCAAGAAAGGAGGACAATCATTCAATTCATCCAACCCCATGGGTAGTTGCCATCAATGTTGACCCAGCCTCCCTTTTCAATGCCCTCCTCCCACCCCATCATCACCGCCAGCATCTTGCAGCCCATCGAACTGACAGTGCACACAATCCTGTCACTTGCTCCCGCCAAAACGGCCAGATCAAGCATATACGCCCTGCCCATGTAGCTGCGCAACTGAATCGTCTGCTCGGAGGGCGGTTCTATCCGCCCCGCCGACGCTCCATTCGCATGGCCGTTGTGCTTCCTGTCAAACCCGAGGTTCCAAAACATGGGCGCAAAGAACCCGCCTTCCCATTGCAAGGTTTCATCCTCAAAATGATGGAGCACGTTCTTGTCGACCTCCTCCCGCGGAGCGGCTTCTTTAGAGGCCAAGCGGATGCGCTCCTGCGCAAACAATGCGTCGGAGAAGTCGGGCTGCTTGTAGACAGCAGGGTCGTCGGAGGCGATGATAGTGATGGACTGGTTTGTGGGCAGTTCATGGCTCTCAGACGAGCTGTAGTGGGCGCCTATCAGCTCTTGGGCTTTGCTGAGGAAAACCTCGGATGGGATATAAGTGTTGCGATATTGGTACTCGAGAGGGTGCGAATCACCGCGCCGAACGTGGAGCCCAATGATGGGGACATGCGAAACGGCCGAGTCAGCTTCCATCGCCTGCTTCCTCAGTTGCTGTACCCGGTCGTGGGCATACTCTTGGTCATCGGTATTGATCTTGAAGAGTGCCTCGTATCCCGATCTTGCAAGTCCCATCAGATCTCGTAGATTGTTGCTGGTTCCGGCGGCGCGGTGGTATTTGGCCATTAAAGCCGGGAAAACATCCTTGAGCGTCGTGCCCGTGACAACTAGATGCTTTGCCTGTGCCGGGCAAGGAAGCATCCGGTGTCGCGGAGGTGGCCGGCAATCGGGGATTGGTGGTGCCTGGAAGATGTCGGTATACCGGCCATAGGCCCAACGAGAGTCGTCGATGAAAAATGCCCTGCCATCTTGTTTGGCGAGGCCGTAGAGCATCCACATGCCCATGACGGCAGTGCCCAGCCCAGCATCTGAGCTCTCCAGTACATAGGTGACAGAAGATGGACAGATGGGCAGTCCGGCCATGGACTCCCAGTTCAAGCCGACAAAGTGCCCAGATTTTGGGCTGGTATGTGCATGCGCAACAGGAGGTAGCAGTCCATACAGTTCAGCCTCATACACGTCGACAAAATACTCGTCCACGGCGTCGTAGTTAAGCTTGTCTTCATCAGACAATGGAGCTTTACCACGGAGCTCCCTCGTATGAGCTGAGACCTCGCGGCATTTGCTTCCCATGCCATCATATTCCTCCACCGTCAGAGGGAAATCGTAATGGTGCGGGATAGACATGGTCCACTTGGACTTGGAATGGCTATGGCTGACAACTATGGGCGTTGGGAAATCCGGAATCGCGTCCTGCCCGACCATTTCAAACTCTTCTGTTGTGAAATGAGGCCATACTGCTATTATGGACTCTTTATTTCGGAATGCAAGGCGAGCAAAGTATAGGGTTATAAATAGCGTGATTGAATAAAGCATATATCGCAGCACTCGACTTGGTCGAGCAATCAAGGCCTTTGCAGGCGACTTCTTTGGCCGCGGTACCAGTGCGGGAAGACTAGGCGAAGGAGGAGGAGAGAAGAGAAGATGGTTAAAGTTGAATCGAGCCGAAGTCGATGAGAGCGGTGCTTTCTCGTAGTTGTTGTATGAAGCATTTCGACGGAGGTTGAGCCGTGGAGGTGCAATCATGACCTTGGTATGAGATGAGAGATCCAGCGGAGGAACCATGGTGATGGTGATGCCTGTTGAGGGAAATCCACCATATAACAAATGACTAACACGTGAATTTGAAATGAAAGTAATAATAAGAAAATATGTGAGAGAATGAGAGAAAGGATGAAGAGTGTGCCGGTGGTTTCGAATAAGATGCCAACACCAAGGGAGAGTGTATCCAGCGTCAGTCAGAGACGGCTCGATATGCCAAAAGACAAGATCAGGCGACGCAAGGGAGGAAAGTAACAGTAAATAAGAAAAAAAGAGAGCGGCAGAGACGGGCCAGCCAAGATCAGGCTCTCAACCACTCACACACCCTTTATAATAACAAGGAGGCGAGGCGTGCAGTATTCCAATAAAGTTTCCCCCCACACAGCGTTAGGCAAAAAGATGAGGACCCCAGCAGACGCCGCCGATCATCATGGGATGGGAAACAAGGGCCTGATATGCAAAAAGCACTTCCGAGGCTGTCTCTGAGGATGCCGAGCAGCTGATGCGTGTGTAACTCGTTCCTATCACGGCTCAAGGGCCACGTCGATCCCGCCAGTGCCACCCGAAGCGGAATGAGAAGCGAGGAAGAGAGAAACACAAGGGCACAGAAAGGGGGTGGAAGGAGGGAAAGAATGAGGACGGGAAGAGGCAAAGATTGACGTCAACGCCAATGCGATGGCTTTTGGCCGGCGGGATGATGCTGAAGGAGAGTTGGGAGAGAGAGGTCAATCTGGAGAATGCAAATAGTAGTACCTAGGCATCGACGGGGATCGTGGGAAAGGTATAAGCCGTCAAGTGCTGATTGATGTATGTACTCCCCACCTAAGGAACTAAGGCAAGGGACAAGAACCAAACAGAAATCAGATCAAATCAAATCAAATATGTACTAGAGAAATAGCACAATAGAGACGGGCCAGCTTCCGGCCTGTCCTGCGGCGGCTGGTCAAACACCTGCAGCTCTCTCGGGAGCGCGGTCCCTTTGACTGGCCCTTTTGGCAGTCCCTAGACCCAGCATCGACAGGGTCCCCGGCGGTCTTTGTTCAACTGTGGGGAGGGAGGGAGGCTTGATGTCATGTCTCTGATGACCCTGGTCGATGCGATACGCAAGAGAGAAATAGAATAGGTACGACAGTAGAGAGCTTCCCAAGGAGGCAGGCTGGGAAAATGCTAGGGGGACGTCGCGAGCCACCCCAAAAGTGTTTCCGAATCATGAGAATCGTCCGACGCTCAGCCTGAACGAAACAACGACTGGCGGGACAGCAGAAAAGGCAAACCATGACGGTATCGGAAGAAGAAGAAAAGAGGCCTGATGCATTGAGAACAGTAGGTAGAGACGGGCGAGAGGTACTCGTAAACAGGCAAACCACTGCTCCGGGAGCGCATGCATTGTGCTCGTGTCACCATCTCACCATTTATTTGATTGTTTCCACCAACAGCTTGTCAACATACATCACACGCCAACCAATGGAGGCGTTCCAGCCAGAGACACACAGTCCACAATGCGGCCCCAATCCAGTCACGAACCGGACATCCGTTCTTTAGGTAGGTAGTTTGTGTTTTTTTCTTTCTTCTTTAATTCTAGCGGGCGCTTAGGAGACAGCTGAAAGACGGGGTTACAAAAGGCGAAGAAGAGGAAGAACAAAGAAATAGTGATAGTCGTTGCCGGCGAGTGACCAGGGGAGTTTGGCGTCATAAGCTCGCCGGGGGCCCTGTAAGAGACAGACTTGAAACCGATGATTCTGTTGGTCTGGAGAGACTTTTTGGCGCCTGCGGGTTGGGCGTATTTAGGCGGCATCGCGTGTTTCAGATTGGCAGCCCGGATCCACTCTGCGCTGCACGACGACAGAGGCTGCGATCCAATGAAAGCTGTCGGGCTGCCTTTCATGAATGTCTCTTATTTACTTACGTGTATTCTCTTCACAGCCAAGTAAGAAATGAATAAGAAATGCTGCAGTGAGCAAAAATTCAACAACTAGGTGTCTATTTTGAGCAAAAGCTGCCTACTGCTAACTATACCATCCTAGGGCAAACATACAGATGTGTTTGATGCCTTCTCCTCGTTAACATGCTCCCTCCACACCTTCAACCCCATCCCAACCATCCAAAGAAGAAGAAAAAAACTTTCTCTCCCTCCATTAGAAAAAAAAAAACAGCCACAAAGATCAATCTTTTTTTCCTCTTCCCACACTTGGTTAACATAGGCACCTCGGCTCGTCCCTTCCACCGGCCCACACATGCACTTCCATCATACCTCTCATAAATGTCCATCTCCCACTTTTTAATCTATCTGACGCTCGCCATTCGGCCCATCCCAATCTCCATGCTTATTAGAATGCCCGCCTCGAGATTGAAATTACGCCAAATATCGAAATCACACCCAATGTCGATACGAACATCGAATCTTATACCTCGTAAACATGTGAAATACTACCTAATGCCTTGTAGTAGTTACTCGTAATCTGTGGCATCCGCCTTTCTCGTGTGCTCAACTCGGTCGTCTCCGAATGTTCTAATCCACTCTTTCTTTCCATCTCTCCTTCTAATCTTGTTCTTCGTTTCTTCCTCTTTTGTTATATTAGATACTGGGATAATGACCTAGAATAATAAGCAGGTCGGCGGATACAAGTGTTAGACATCCAGTAGACACATACAGCTCATCCCATCTAATACCATCTTGGTGCTATTACATCATAGACTGTCTTTTTATACACCTGTACTATCTACATATATTCGTTCCATCTATTACTTGTGCATCTTGAGCATCTTCACGCTTGCTTAAAAGTTCAGAGTAGAAAATCATCATACAACGATGTTGTTCTTTTTGAATCATAGCTTGCGCTTCGCATAAACTAGAATCTTCGCTAGAGCAAGCAAACAAAAAAAAAGAAAGAAAAGAAAGAGAGAGAAGCATTCGAAGATGATGGAGAAAGAAAAACCACAATGCCTGTCCACCCGAGGCTCCTTTTGCCCATTTTGAAGTCATATAATAGCCCAAATGCAAAACCCTAACCAGGCAAGACAACGGGAGCGGGATTTCGAACCCGATACTCTCCCTTCTCTGCCATACTGCGCAGCTTCTTCTGCCGCCACGAAACATCATCAAGACGCAAATCGCGCACAAGGGGGTATTCTTACACCAGCAACGAACCATCTCGTCCAATCCACACACCAAACCCTCTAAGCGACTCGGAATGCTGCATCATGAATCAAAACATGAACCCCACTCGTGCTCGCCCCCTTCTTGCAGAGCAAACAAGAAACAAACTCAAAAGCTCGGGTATAACATAAAAAAACAAACAAACACAATAGGGGGAAAAAAACAAATGTGGCTCCCATGCCTGAACTCCTTGTCCCACCAAAAATTGCCGCAAATAGCTCTCATCACATTGCAGTCTGGGATTGCAACTAAAAGACTCCGGGCCCTCGGCCATGCTCCTTCTCCTGCTCATTTCACCCTTGTGCTCTCGGGCCCTCACGATGCGGCCTCAACAGCGGTGCTGCGCTCTCCAATGGGTGTGGGTACGCGCCGCAACGGCGGGAGCTCGCTGGGTGGCTCGCCTAATGATCCCAACCGGTGGCTGGGCGCCAGTCGTACACTCCCTCGAGCACCTCTAATGATCTGGCCGTTGTCGACTCGGTCTTGAATCATCTCCTCCAGCATGTTGTTCATCTCATCAATACTCTTCGTCCTTCTCTTGGATTCCTTTATCGTGGGACTCCATGGGTGAGCACTCCGGATTCCATCTTGCGACTGGGGCGACCGAGGCTCTGTCATCGCATCGGCATTGTCCCGTGAGCGAGCTGCGCTTCTCAAGGCAGCCAGCATCCGATCCTTGTCGTCCAGCCTGGCTCGTAGATCGGCAATCTCGGCATCCTTTTCCTTCAGCAAGGCAGCTACACTGTGGTCCTCGCCCACCATGATGCCCTTGGTAGGCACCGAGAAGCCAGACGATGTCCTAGAAGAGCTGGCTCGGCGTGCCTGGAGCAGTCGTTTCTCAAGTGTCGAGATGTATCGATTCTTGTCCGCGAGATCGGCCTGTAGTGCTCGGTTCTGCGCAGTCAGGGAGGCCATCCCGTCTCCGTTTTCCCCGACGCTATCCTCCTCTGCGTCGATGATTTCAGCTTCGCCGCCCGACGACATTCGTTTGGCCCCATAGCTAGACCTCCGTCCAATGGTAGAATTTGACGCTACTGACGCCGTCCGCTCCAAGGGCGACCGTATTGAGATGGCAACTGACGATCGAGCTGATCCAGGCACCAGCGAAATCTGTGAATATCGTGCAAGCGCGCTCATGGTGCCATTCGAGTTGACACCAGCTGACTTGGAGCTGAGGATCAATCGGTTAAGATGATCAATTCGTTCTTTCAGCGCCGTCCTTGCAAGTTGCATTTCCAAGATTTGCTCCTCGTGCCGTTCGGCAATCTGTGCTGTCTGAGCACGGTCGTGCTCAACAAGCTCCTTCATCTCGTCATCATTCTTCTTGGTGGCCTGAGTCTCCAGCTGCTGTTTTAATTCCTGAATCTCCATCCTATACCGCTCCAAGAGCACCCGTGCAGCGCCATCTCCTCCGGCGCCCAGTGCTTCTTCAGCCCTCTTGGCATGACTGACAATGCTGTTCTTTGCGCGCGACGCGAACTTGAGGGTATTCAGAGTTTCGATGGTGTGGTTGGCAGAAGTTGCCGCGGTTCCAGTCACTCCAAGCGCGGCCGTGCAAAGAATACTGACGAGGGAGTTACCAGAGAGGGCCCCCTGAAGCAGACGCGTCAGTTTGCTGTCTCGGTAAGGCAGATGCTTGCCATCTTTGTCGCCACCTTTATCCTTCCATTCGGAAAGCTTTGCAATGACCGTTCCGAGAGTGAGCAGACTTTTGTTGATGTGCGCACCCTCCTGTCTTCGCTCCTTGGATTCTGCGGCTTTTTCCGAACCAGCAAGATCGATCAAGCTCAAAGTAGAGACTCTAACACCTCCGGGCACAATGGCTGACCGCTTGTCGCCGGCACCGGCGCCAGCACTGGCTGGCATT